ACGGTCGAGCCTCTAGCCTCGGTTTTAAAAGAAGGTTTTAGAAAACGAGGAGAGAGAAAGAGATTTTAGAAAGAGACGTTATATAAGCAAGCAAGAGAAAGATAACAACGGCTTAGCATATATAACCTTGGGTAGGGAGAAGTTGACAACTAGTCATATCCCCCTATAGTACATTCTGGGCCATTTTAGTTCTGGCAGGCCTAGACATGATATTTTTGAGGTGTCATACGCTCTAGAATTACAAAAGGAAAAACAGTAGAATGAAAAGACATGACAAGGGTTTGGCTTGTCATGGGCATGCGGCCATGGGCAACATGCCCTGGACAAGCATGACCGTGACACCTCGCATACCCAACCTGACCCGGTTAGGCAACCGGCGCACAATCTTCCTCTATAACTGCCTCGTATACCCGACCCAAAACTAATTTGACCCACACACCTCTGACGTCAACTCGGCTTCGCACGACTCCCAAGTGGCTTATTCAGCTTGGTTTGATCAGCATTTAAGGTCACTTAAACTCCTATTTTCACAATTTAAATTATTTTGAGCTTTATGTAAGTTATAATATGATGTCGTGGGTCGACTTAGATTGAAATGGACCTTGAGGACGGAATTGAGCCAACTCTAGGAATATTTAGAGATTCCGACTTAAGCCAACTAGGTAAGTGTCTGGATGAGATGCATTAGTTATGATGACGTGTATCTAGTGGCCCATGCATCTATATTATGTATGCATGATATATTAAGCTATGCTATGTTGTTTGAAGCTATGCTATGGCATGTCATGCTATACCACGTTATAATATGATAAGGTAGGTTATGTAATAAAATTATGTTATTTTGTGACCATACCATTTTGTATAAAGTTGTTATGAAATTGTTAATCTATAATATATAGACTTCTGTAGACCGTGACATGAAAGTTATGTTATGCAAGAATTATGTAAGCATAATTCAGACTTATTATGTTATAAATAAATTGAGGTTTGTCTTAGATCATAAATTATGACATGATAATAAGTTGACCTCATGCATATTTGCGTGTCATGTGCATTGAGATATTTTTCCATTATGAGGAGTACAAATGCATACATTATGACTTATGATTTACGACATTTATGCTCGTCATAATATAATGTGGGTCCTTTCCCTCCATGGTGTTCGACAAGAGCTCATTAGAGATGGCTAGCCCGACGGGCCAGGTCCAAAGGGTGTGCAAGCCCACTTGGTGGGCCCATGCTTGCACGCGTGGGTCATGTGTCGAGAAGCACTACACATCCAACCTTGTTCGGATTGAAAAGTTGTCTAAAGTCATGTTATGATATGTTAAGAGGATAGGTCACACCATGTTAGATGTGTTTACATTTCCTGACCCCACTAGTGGGTTACTAAGTATTTATTCACATGTGCTACTTTTACACGTACAGATGACGTCGGTGTTGCAATGAAGGTCATGAAACTAGTGTTAGGGTATTTACATTTTGTTTATTTTATAGTCCTTAGTTTAAATTAGGAACAATATTTTATTTAAATTTTAAATTATTTATTTTTCGTTGTTTTATTATAAAGTTTTTATTACAAACATTTAAGTCTATGACATCGTTTTTAAAAATATTTTAAATGAATTTTTCTCCACCTAACTATCATGTCGTAAGAGGGAAAGGTTTTTGAAAGGGATCTGAAGAAAAAATCGAAAATGCTCTCCTTACACTCCAAATCATCTATTCTAAATTATATATTTAGTTTTGTGGAAATTAATGAGAATGTCTGGATTGCTTTGACTGACTTTTGGTGCTAAAACATACCACCGTCCAAGAAAAATCGAAAGGAAACAATTTTGAATCAATGGGATGTACTTTATTATAAAATTTTATTGGTCAAATGTTACTATATTCTGCATCTTGTCTGACACATCAAACCATTATCGGCAAACATGTTAGAGAGAATATATCTATATATATATATATATATATATTTTTTATTTATTTATTTATTTTTTTTGTTATGCTGCAATGAAAAAAAATGTTTTTTTTTCTACTATTAATTTTTTTCACTAAATTATGTAATAAAAATTTTGTTAATTGATTTTAGTAGAGAATAAAATTAAGGAATAAAAAGTACTTTAAATGGAATTTGAGGGGTAAAGTAGAATATTTTAAATAAAATAAGATTTAAAGCTAAATAAAATGGGCATAGGAAGAAAAAGAAAAGTTAAATAAATAATAATTTGAAAAAGTATTTTATTAGTTAAAATGTCACAACTTATGAGGTGGCAAATGCTTTTATTCTTTGTTTTTTTCCTTGGGAAAAAACAACTCCTGTTTAATAATCCAATAATTTGTTCACAAATAGTCCTTTTAATATTTTTTATTTTTAATAAAAAAAAATCAATAAAACATATAAAAATTTGTATTAATTATCTTGCCCTCTAGCCGAAAAAGGAGAATTTTTATTGAAGATATCGAGGAGATCTAAGCCCTCCAGCTCCATGATGGAGCCGACGAACAAGAAATTTTTAAAAGCTGACTCATAAGGGACCTACTTGAGAAAATTTGGAAGAAATTGGCCTTAGGAACTTGAATCGAGCCATCGAATGCACCCAAACAAGTAAGTAGTCATCTCATGTAGGTCCCTTAATGAGAAAACTAAGAGAGCAATTGTGAAAGGATTAGGCGAAGAACCTCACTTCCTAATTAGCGTTTTACTCAAGAATACCCTAATAAGACTTAACGCAATGAATTTTAGAAATTGACCAACTTAATGACATCCGCTATGCATGAAATTTTAAATATCGACCTAATAAATATTGATACATGTTGAATTTGAAGGTCACAAAAGCATGTTTAGGTTATTGATATAAACCAAGACATCAATCATGTAAGATAAAGTTTAAGGAAGATATGAAAAAAATGTTGTTCAAATTACTACAAAATCTAGTAAAAAAACATTTATTTTTTTCTAATCACTAAGTTTATTTGCAATTCTATATAGCTTAGATTGTATATTTAGAATCATTCAAGCTTGACATGATTGATCTTATTTGTGGAGTGATTTGAATCTTATATTCGATCAACAAAGTAATCTGAATATTACTTCCCTTGTAATAATTCCTTACCATATGGATCAAAGTTTTCCCTTGAATTAATTTCTTATCATTTGCTATAAGAGTTTTTCTTTAGGTTGATTTCTTATCATTTGGTATAAGAGCTTTTCTTTGCGTTCTTTTCGATTTGATTTTTATTTTTTTAGTTTTTAATTGACCCAAAATCTAAAATCTAATCTTTGCTCTATTAAAAATTTTGAGAGCGGAGAGATTCATTGGGGTAAATGAGAGCAAACAAAGTAGACTAAAATGACCGTAACACCCCTAGTATTCCCCTATGATGTTTCACTGTCTAAATGAACACGGAATGACTTAAAATTTTAATGAGATATACTTATAACAACGTTATTCATGATTTATTCATGATTTAAAGGTAATAGGAGTATGTGCAGGGCATAAACCAATGATAAGGGTAATAACGAAAATGCCCTTAATGAATATTTTATGGAATTTTATGATTTCTAATGAACTCCAAATGACTTGAAACTTTGCATGAATCCTATTTTGAGGATTAAGGCTCATGAACCTTATAGTATGCCTTATGTCAAGGTGGTTGTGCTAAGTCTTCGTGACAGACCATTAGGGGCAAGATTGATAAGCTTATGAACCTACGTTCTAAGATTAAGAGCGAAACCAAATACATTATTCTAAAAAATGTACTAGTCTTAAACAGACGTTGGTGTATTAAAGTGTTGACTAATAAAAAGTTTGTACTTTTGCCTTTAGAACATGTAGAGATAAAATGTTTAGAGGAAAATGATTGTCATTCTGTTTATGAAATAATGGCTTCACTGTCATCACCATCCAGTGTAAAGAAAAAGTAGGCTCAAAGTGGTTGGCGTCTGGTGCAAAGATTTATGCCACTTTCGGCACATAAATTTTGATTGTTTCTACTTTTCATGCATATTTGCCCTTAAATGGATATTTTTTCCAATTCATGGATATCTAACTATTCAAGTTGTCTCAATTTTGTATATGACCTATTAGATTCTGTCATGGTTGCATTCGACGATTGGAATTAAATAGTTTGGCTAGAGGTAAAAAATTCGAAGAGGAAAAAATCGAATTTTCATACCTTAAGAGTTTAGACCTCGATTCGTACACATTCTAGAGATTGTACCTAGAGCGATTCCAAAGCCTCCTTCCCCACTCAATATCTCACGCTACAATGCACTAAATTGAGTGAAGTCAATTCTTACCCTTCCATGGTTGATAGGACTCCAAATTTGGTAAAGAAAACAAACCCAATGATCATTGTGAAATATACCTAAAAAAATACCAATGATTTTTAAAAGATAACTCAAAATTAACTCTCTTAATGAATAAAAACCATGATAAAATCTTTCTTCCTGTCTTGATTGAGATCATTGTGAAATATGGAGTATCAGACAAGAAAATTGAGGTCCAAAAATAATTGAGTAGGTACAATGGATTCTTCGTAAGTAATAATTTGTAGGGATTGATTAGACCTAACATGTTAGGAGTGATTTGCCATATTAAGAATATGCATGATTACGACTCCGGATCACATCATAGAAACTTTGACGGTATGATAAAAGCTAATAAGGCCTAATGGACCATTAAACATGTTTTTAGTATATTAAGTTGATTAAATTGATTCTTAAACATGTAACGGTTCATTAAGATAACTTGTGAAGCATGTTTCTAATAAGTTGAGCATATTTTCATCAAAACGCTCTAAGATAACAATTAACTATCAGAGAAGAAACGAGAAAAATCGAGAGAAACGAAATTGAGTTAAATTGTCGAATTGAGGAATGTATTGGAGGAGATTGATTAAAGTGTGGATGGATTGAAAGCTCATATTCAATTTTGCCTCCTAGAACAAGCTGTTGGAGTGTAGTGCGAAGACTTGTAGGAAAGTGGTCTCCCAAAACGACTTAAACACTCCACGCCACCCATTCAACGCAAGTCGTCCCTGCTCCTGCCCCGTTGTAATACTTATATAAACCTCCACCACCACCACCACCACCACCACCACCGACGTACTTGCTACCAAACTCATGGCTGCTACCGCTAAATTTTCTACCAAACTCATGGCCGCTACCGCTAAATTTTCGTATCTTTCTTCATTGCCGGCTGGTTTTGTTTTCCGTCCCACGGAGGAGCAGCTCATTACCCACTACCTGAAGAAGAAGAATGATGGCAACGAGTCTGTTAGTTTTATCAAGGAGATCGATCTGTACAAGTTCGAACCCGAGCAACTCCCAGGTATGCATTTATCAAATTCCTGATTTTAGCTTTTGAAGATGGAGCACACCTCTGATTGTTTCCTTTCCCCTGTTCCTGTGCAGACAAATCGTTTATCCCATCTGATAATTTTGAGTGGTTTTTCTTCCGGGCCAGCACCTTGGTCATTGAAAGAACCACGGGTACTGGCAGCTGGAAATCCAGCGGTGATCCCCGCCCCATCAAGGCTCGAGGAACCGATCAAGTGATCGGAAGTAGAGAAATCTTCGTGTTCCATCGAGGGCGGGGAGACAAGGGTGTAAAGACCAATTGGGTGATACACGAGTATAAGCCTCGCCCAGTTTCAAAAATCCCTTCCAAGGTCTCATTTTCTAGGCTTTCTTTTATTCCCAAATATGATGAGTATTTTTGAGTAATGAGCTTTTTGTGGTGACATTGTCCCTCTTGCTCTTATGTACTGCTGCCCATGTAGCCCCAATTCGTCATTTTTCGATTGAAGAATGAAAACGCAGATGGACAGAGCAGTAGCGTTGCTTCTCAAACGAAAAAGAAGAATATCACACAGAAGGTAAGAGTGTCCAATATGAACATTTTGAACATAACCTTGTATGCAGAGCTCGAGATGACCTCCTTAATTTTTAACAGCCTGGAGCTGGAACTTCCAAAAATCCAGATAATGCCATACAGAGTGTATATGATTTTGAAAAGCACATTACGGAATCGGTGTTCGGCAAGCATAAAAACTTGGACCAGATGACATCAAACAAACACGAGGAATCGGAGGAATTAGATGACGCTTATGCTGATGTACTGAGTAAAAATTATTTGATTGAATTGTTTTGCAGTGTTGCAGCCACACAGTTCCTCATCCTTTGCCCTTCTTTTGTCACATATTTTTACTTGTCAATTCCAGAACGAAGAAAGAAAGTTGCGTAGAGAGCCCACAAGTGTAAAGGTATTCAGGGTCAATGGCAACACTAACTCCCGCAAGGTTGTATCCAAAGGAAGTAAACCACAAAAAGGCCCATTGTCGAAGGAAACCCCAACTACAAAGACGTCCCGATACAAGGTGAAGGGATACGCGTATTTATAGTGTAGAAGCTATTGTTGTTGTGACAATTCATGTCACATGATTTCCCGACACTCTTAGACTCTCATTTTCAATTTTGCAGGTTCAAGGGGATAACACACGTACACTACTCGTGAATCCACCCCACCCATCTACCAAACGCATTCACCACAACTCCACTGTCCACCCAGTTGCCAAACTGTTGCTAGGCATCGGGATGTTTAAGCGGATGTATCTCCCGTCTGGCTTATTCTGATTTACTTACGTAGAAGCCGATGGATCTCCCATCTACCAAACGTATTTATATTGCAGAAGCTATTTTATGATTTTGTTACTGGTATATTTTTTCTCATGGTAGCCTGTATTCTATTTAAACGGTGTGAACATTAATGAATATCGTACTCTTGATTTATTTATGTTTCTCATTCTTAACATGATATCATAGCACCGATCTTGGTGTTCTTAAATATCAAAATTTCTTTTGTGGCGGAATCAGCCAAATCCGAGTTCAAAATTTTGGAGGTTGATTTAACATATCTCTATTACATTCATCACTCTAATTCGCCAGGATATTCACTTGTTTCAATCCAATTAAATTGGACAAATTATGAATAAGGGAGTACATTAGCTATCTAGGCTCTTTTTGCTAAAAAGAAAAATGACTTAATTCATGACAATTGAAAAATCATCTCAGTACCTAAATTCAAAATAGTCCATCAAAAGAATTTGAACTTTGTATCAGTGGAACATAATGATATTATCTTGGTTAACTCATTTAGTTGAAATAAATATCGCTGAAGGTATTATTTACGTCAAGAAAGCTCATCAAGTGTGAGTTGATCTTCACGATCAATTCTCACAAAAAAAATGCTCAAGCAATTTTTCAGATACAAAAGCCGACAGCAATGATGTTACACGGAACCATGGTTGTAACGATCGGAAAATTTTAAATAAATAAATATAAATAATAATAATAATAATTAAAAAAAATAAATGATGACTCTCCCCCACCTTTCCCCAAATATTTCTCCCCAGCCACTCCTACAACACCAAAATGATCTGGAAAAAAAAAATGTAAACCCAAAGAAAAAAGAGCTGATTTTGGGAAGAGAAAAAAAGAAGAAAAAAACACAGCAAAGCAGATTTTGGAAGAGAAAAATCAGAAATGGCCTCCACTTCCAAAAATTTAAGAGGAAATGAGAGAGGAAAGAGATAAGGTAAGTTAGATCAGGTTTCTTTTATATTTTACAAACAGATAGAAAGGTTACATTAGATATCTTTTCTTTTATCTTTTGTGTTAGGGAAAGAGCAAGGGATTAAATGGTTGATGAGAAGATTGTATTACGAAGAGTAAGAACACTCTATCTATATATATAGAATACAAAAACATATTTAGAAAATTTACCTAAAAAATCTGCAAAATTATAGTAACAAATCATTAAACAAATAAAAAACTAAGTCAGATCAAAACTACAAGGAGATTTAATCTAAAGAAACACGTGATCTTTAACACTTCTCCTTGTTTAGATGCTACAAACTCCAAGCTTTTTTTTCTGAAATCTTCAAACTTGCTAAGTGGCAGAGGTTTGGTAAGGACATCTGCAATTTAATCTTCAAATTTGCCATAGCAAAGAGTCACATCACCACTCTTTTGAACTTCTTGAACAAAGACTAACTTGATGTTGAAATGCTTAGTTTTTCATTATTGGAGATTGCAATAGCAGCTTGGTTATCAACTAGTATCTCAGTGCTTTGTTTTTGCTCCAAGTTTAGATCCATGAGAATTTTCCTTAACCAGAGAGCTTGATTAACTACAACTGTTACTGTTATAAATTCTGCCTCAGCAGTGGATTGAGCTACAGTTTCTTACTTTCTTGAGCACCAGGAGAACATGCCTGATCCGAGGCAAAAACAATGTCATCGATTGAGCCACTCCAATCACTGTCAGAGAAACCAATTAGCTTCGTTTCCTTGTGGTTTAAGAACTTCACTCCATAATTCTAGGTCCCCTTGATGTATCTGATAATTCTCTTTGCAACTTTCATGTGAGTCTCATTGGGACAATGCATGAATATGGAGAGAATACTTACAACATTTAAGATATCAGGTCTGGTTGTTGTTAAGTACATCAGACAACCTACCAAACTTTAGAACTCAGCTTCAATAACTTTGGCAGAACCATCATCTTTGATCAGCTTCTCTTTTTTATTCATAGGAGTATTCATTGCTTTGCAATCCTCCATCTGAATTTTTTCAAGTATCTCTTTTACATACTTTTTTTGACAAATGAACACTTCATCTTGGGTTTGCTTGATCTCAATGCCAAGGAAATATGACACCAGACCAAGGTCCGTCATTTCGAAGATCTTTTTTATTTCCAGTTTGAACTTGTTAATTTATTTAAGATTGCTTCATGTAATTAATAAGTCATCTACATAAAGAGAAAGGATTAAAGTACTTGTATCTTCATGCTTGACATACAATGTGAGTTCATATTGACTTTTCTGAAAGCCAAGACCAACCAAATGATTCAGGTTGCTCTGTTCACAAAACCTTCAGGTTGCTCGACAAAAATTTCTTCTTGCAAGACTCCATGAATGCAGGTTTAACATCTAACTGACACACTTTCCAACTCATTTGAGCAGCAAGAGCAAGCAACAATCTTACTATATCAAGCCTAGCAACAAGTGCAAATGTTTATAAATAGTCAACTCCAAAAACTTGCGCATATCCCTTCACAACAAGTCTTGCTTTGTATTTGTTAACTGAACCATCAGGATTTAGCTTTGTTTTGAACACCCATCTTACTCCAATTACCTTTATATTTAGAGGTCGATCAACCAACTCCTAGGTTTTGTTTTTCTTGATCATCAAAAGCTCCTCCTGCATTGCAGCCATCTAATGTTGACTGTTTTTTGCATCATGGAACCTTGCATGCTCAAAACCAGCTACATTACACATTCGATAAATATCAGACAACAACCTTGTACCTCTGACAGGTGTATCATCAACCAAAGCATCTTGTTGTTCATCTTTAGACTTGTCTTGACGTTCATCTTCAGACTCTTCTAACATGCTGCCAAAAGTTAAATTGTTTGGTGCATTAGAAATCTGATTCACCTTCGTCACTTCTTCCCAATTCCATTGCTCATTTTCAACAAAAGGAACATCTCGGCTCAAAATAACACGACTAGTGTGTGGTTGAAAAACTCTGTAAGCTTTGGATATAGTGCTATACCCAACAAAGATGCCAGCTTCTGCCTTTTTGTCAAGCTTATCGGTGGAATGTAAGTGAAACAAAGACACCCAAATACTCTAAGGAACTTTTAAAGAAGGCTTGTAACCATACCAAGCTTCAAATGGCGTTAGGTCCTTCACAGCTTTTGTTGAAATTCGATTTTGCATTATTCACAGCTTCATACCAAGCTTCACTGATTCTCCCTAAAAACGTTTTGGAAGATTCTTCTCATGAAGCATGCATCTCGTCATCTCCATTATGAATCTATTGCTCCTTTCATTGACGCCATTCTGTTGAGGAGTGTCTGGCGCTGTCAATTGATATCCAATTTCAGCCTCTTCACAAAACCTGTTAAAAGTTTCTGAAGTGTACTCCTCACCATTATCTGATCTTACAGTCTGAATCAAGCATGCACTTTCATTCTCGAACTCCGGCATTGAATTTCCAAACTACACCCGCAACTTCTGACTTTTGCTTCAGCAAGAAGATCCAACACATTCTTGTTAGATCATCAATAAAAACAATGTAATAAAGATTACCATTTAATGATGGTGTTCGCTGAAGACCACAAAGATCAGAATGAACCAGTTGCAGTTTTCTCAAGGCTCTCCATGCCTGTTTAGGAAAGGATTGCCTATGTTGCTTCCCAAAATTACAAGTACAGCAAAGAGGCATGTCATCATCAATGTCAGTGAGTCCTTCTACCAGCTTCTTTGACTGCATCTTAAGCAAATCTTGATGATGAAAGTGCCCAAGTCTTTTGTACCAAATCTCGACCATCTGCTCTTTTATCATCGGATTTAGGGCAAAGCTTTTTCCTTTCATTTGACATTGAACAAGTCATTGCCGCTGGCATCTTTAATCAAGCACTGCTTATTCTCAAACAACAATTTATAGCCTTTATCAAGTAACTGACCAACACTAAGAGATTTTGATCAATTTTTGTACAAATAAAACATATGGAATAAATTTTGTACCTCCATTGTTATAGCTACTGTGCCTTTTCCTTTGACTTCCAAGTGTTCACCATTGACAATCCTCACTCTCTTGACTTCAGTGTCTCTTAATTCCTAAAAAAACGCCTTGTCATATGTCATATGATTTGTGCTCCCTCTGTCAATCAACCAGCTCTCGCTTGATTCTTTGCCTGAGAAACAAGTGACCACAAATAATTGATCTTCTTCTTCTTGATCAATTACCTGTGCATCTACTTCTTTCACCTGACCTTTGACTTTGCAGATCACAGCTTCATGTTCAAGTTGATTGCATTTGGAGCATTTGGTATCAGGTCTTCTCCAACACTTGTATGGTGGATAACCTTTCTTCTCACAATGGCGGCAAGGTGGATAGGATTTTTTGAAACCTCCTCCTTTTGTCTTCTGATAATTGATAGATGAATCTCCATTCGTCGATTGGTTTTTGAATTTTTTCTTGTTTTTATACTTGTGGTTGTCTTGATGCTTAACAGGCAAGACACCTTCAATCACCCCTTCTTGCCTTATAGACCTCCTTTTCTCTTGTGCTTGTAAAGCGTTCAAGAGCTCTATAAGAGAAATCTTTGACACGTCTTTGGTGTTATCCAGAGTAGTAATGATGGCTTCAAACTTCTCTAGAACAGTGACTAGCAACTTTTCAACGATCCTGGAATCATTTAATACAGAACCAAGCAATCTCACCTTGTTGGCAATGCTGAGAAGTCTGTCAGAGTACTCTTTCACCGACTCCGACTCCTTCACCTTCTGCAACTCGAAATCCCTACTCAAATTCAAGACTTTCATTCCACGAATCCTCTCATCTCCTTCATATTCAACCTTGAGATAATCCCAGATTTCCTTTGTTGTTTTAAGGGATATTATTCGCATGAAGATCATTTGAGATACAGCTGCAAATAGGCGAAGCTTTTACGTTTGATTTTCTTATTTTCTTGTCCTTCTGTACTTTGATTTGTCCTACAGTAGGATTTGCTGGATGTGGAGGGTCCTCGTAATCCTTTCCTATTGCTTCTCAAAGATCCAAAGCCTCCAGATAAGTATCCATACGAACTGCCCACATTTGATAATTGTCTCCATCGAAGACGGGTGGTGCAAATACTGAAAAACTGGATTCTCCTTCTATTTTGATCTCACAGACCTCTTGAGAAGATAGCTCTGACACCAATTTGTTAGTGAAAGAGT